GTTGCGATAGCCATTTCGCGTTGCGATAGTCTGTTTTGCCTTCAACATAAAGCAGATTGAAAATCAACAAATCAATATTACATTTCAACACAAATTATGTACACATCAATTAAACAAATCAACATTTACAAATCATCTTTACAAATCAATTAAACAATCAAAAAATAATAATAATTCTTATTTCTTCATCAATTATTGAATCAATGAATCAACAACTTTGTGACCCCGTACATCCATTTCACGCAGCTCACTTAAGGATTAACCTGCAGAAACCAAACATTTGCTCAAACAAGACTTCCTACACATCTAAAACCTACAAACAGCAAATTATTGAATTCTAGGTACTTAACCAAACATTTTCAAACCAAAAGGAGTATATATGTTAACAAAACTTGCATTTGACTTACCAATTAACAATGGACACTTTCATAACGCGGATGCAGGTAGGCAGCGTCTCGAATATATGCTCTAGCCATATAATGCCAAAACCACAAGCCTACTGCAGCTCTATCTCTATCGGTGGGAGGTAAAACTCTGTGCTTCCCGTCGTCAAACGCGCCAAGCAAAGCATACGAGAGGACCACAATCCCCTTTGGCTCCCGGCGATTGCTGTGGCGCGGTCTCGTCTCTGACAACTGTGACATTGAACTTCTTTGGCTTCTTGTGTCCAGAATGACTCCAATACTTAATCCCATCAAAGAATTTAGCCAAATGAGAGCTCCATCCCTTGAAAATATCTCTCAAATCAGACAGTGATATGTAATTGATCATGCTGTCATACACTATTATCTTCAGGGATGGGAGCTGAAGTTGGACGAGAAGCTAGTGACGACGTTCCAAAACAGGGATAAACACCTGCGATCATAAGTAATAATTCATTTATTTGCGCACTTATTTATTAACACCTTTAAAAATTTAAAAAATTAACACTAACCTTATCGACCTCCCACCATGCAGGATAAAATTTAGCTTGTCCATTGCCCAACAAAAATGATCATCTCGTGATTCTTCAAGTGAACTGCGTGAAAAGCCGTCGGCATTATTGTATATAGCGAATTTTTTTAATTTTTCCTAAGCTTCCTTATTATTAGTAGACGTAACACCCATGCATCGATATGTGTTTACAAAAAAATACATATATTAGTGAATTACATTAATTTTAAACAAATTAATCAAAATCATATATAAGACAAATATAGTCTTACCTCCCCATCCAAATAGCCACTGTCTTCAACCCCTAATAGCACACCCCACCAAGACCGATCAAGCAACAAAAACATTTCATCGTTGAGTTTGATGATGTCAGTGTAACACCATTGGCTCCGCTCATATAGATAAAAATCAACTGCGGTCTTAGCCCAAAGGGTATTATCCACAATTGTTTCCGGTAGTTGTCTCCTCTCCACTTCAGATACCGGAAGGGTACTAGCCGGTAACTCATACGAGAGCCAACTCTCATCCATCATGTCCGGAACCGGTGGGGGTTTCTCAATACTTCGATATATTACCCCATGTGAATCGGGCTCTGGAATGGTGGGAGGGACCTCTTCAACGATGACAGTGGCCTCTTGAACGGTGGGGGGGGGGAATCTTGAGGGAGAATAGGGGCCTCTTGAATGATTGGAGGGGACTCTTGAGGGATGACCGGTGAGTCGGGCTTCTTCTTGCGGAGTCTTCGCACCATTGGGGTGAACAGAGACGTAATAGCACGTCCACGCCGTCTGATGCGTGAACTCCGTCGTGCAAGGAAAACCCGACGTAAAGCATCCACCTTATCGGGCCGCTAAAAAAATTAATACATAAATCAGTAAATAAACAGACATGATATTAAACAAAGACAAATATGTTCAAACTAGCATTGTATTCACCCAAATCATTATTCTATCATAGTTCACAAAATGCTCAATAACATTCCAGAAGTAAGCACTTATATAAACATTTAAAAGGACAACATATAAACATTCCAGAAGAAGAATAGTTTACTTTCGCAACACGAAACTTAAAATCGCAATGCGAAATGACTATCGCAACGCGGAAATGGCTATCGCAATGCGAAATGAAAATCGCAACGACAAAATCGCAACGCGAAATGAAATCGCAACGACAAAATCGCAACGCGAAACACAAATCGCATTGCGATTTTCATTTCGCGTTGCGATTTTGTCGTTGCGATTTTCATTTCGCATTGCGATAGCCATTTCCGCGTTGCGATAGTCATTTTCGTGTTGCGAAAGTAAACTATTCTTCTTCTGCAAATTGAAACTTGAATGGATTGCATTACTTCAACCAAAAGACAAAAACAAAACCAAAAACAAATACTAACAAAAACAGATTGCAGCAACCGAATGAATTACGAGTATGAAAAATCTTAAACTTACCTCGTTGCGTAGAGTATGAACCTCATTCTGCAACGATGCTACCATCTCACGTAGAGCGGCTACCTCACCGCGTAATGTAGACACCTCAACACTCCATGCACCATCGTCTTTGCGTAAAGTACCGACCTCCTCACGCAAGGCATTGACCTCATCACGTAACTCCCCTAACTCATCCCGTTGAGGTGGAGGTGGAGAACAGGGAGATAAACGTCGTGACATCTTTGCCGGTCGCCTATCTTGCGGTGATGGTGGAGAAGAGGCTCGATGATGTGAAAGAATAGGTGATGGCTGTCGTTGTGGAGGTGTATAGCCGGGTCGAATAGATGATGGCTCTAGGTGAGGTGATAGCTCTGGGCGAGGTGATGGCTCTAGGTGAGGTGATAGCTCTGGGCGAGGTGATGGCTCTCGAAGTGGAGGCTGCTCATCAACCGTTCCATCAAAAAAACACTTACTAGCTTGCCACCAATCAGTGGCAAGCTCAGCTTCCGTGGGTGTCAGCCTCTGTAGAGGAGGTTGGCTCCTAACAATATAAAAGCTTAAACAAAGTAAATGTGTACTAGTAATAACTTGTTTATAAACATATGGTAGTATTTATGTTAACTTACATATTTATTGACGTATACCGTAGTAAATCTTCCCATTGCAAGGTTCGTTTCCTCTTCCAGGAAATAGCCCTGGGAATATTATTTGAAGTTTTTATTGCATATGTCTTCATGGCGGGAAAGGCCTCAAATATCTAAATCTACAAACAATATAATAACAAACATTATTAATTGTTAAATAATACTTATATTTTGGAAACATTATATAAAAATTCTTACCTTAAAGGCCCAAATAAAGCCTGTCAAAGTGTATTTGGAACCATCGCCATGCAAACTTTTTCGATCATCCAAGGCAGACGATAACTTATTCCATGTAGCTTTCCATAAATACGAGCCCCACGGAAACAGGTTCCACGCATTTAGGTCTTCTACCAATTTGATTAGATCATTTGGAATAGGCTGTTTGGCCTCTCTGCCTAAAAAGCCGGCATGCAAAAGAATTAGAAGGCATACTCGGACAACGTCGACGTCATCCATCCGAGTAAAACCATCTTTATTATTCAAAAATCTTGTCAGGTCTTCTACGTGTAGACTCGGCCTCTCCAGCTCAGGGAAAACCCGGGATAGCCATGATGGACGGGTAATGTGTCTAGTGTACCGACCTACATCATCGTGTCCGAAGCGTAGACCGGTGATTAAGCAAAACTCCTCCCGCCCAAAACACGTATACGCCGGTGGAAAATCAAACCATATCTCTTCATCACGACGTTGTATAGTCTCTGGTAGATCTCTAGTCATGGTTTGAAGAAACAGGTGTGTCAACATCGATCCCCACCGGGATGTTGTACTTTCAGCCATGGCCGAAGCATGTATCCTCAAACATTTTCTTTGTGCAGGTGAAAGCTTCGACGCAATTGTTTTGGCCAGGCTGACTTTATTTCTCAAGGTCAATTGAGCCGAATAAAAGTTCTACAAAAACAATAAACATACTAAATTAGATATACCAAAAACTACAATGTGAAGATACCAAAAACAATAATAAACATAAATAGTAGTAGTTTATTCTTCAAACTTAAATATGCAACACTGTGAATTTCGTATTGTCTTTGTTTTTTGGTTGAAGTAATGCAATTCATTCAAGTTTCAATTTGCAGAAGAAGAATAGTTTCTGAAAATGAAATCGCAACACGAAAATGACTATCGCAACGCGAAACTAAAATCGCGTTGCGATTTGCATTTCGCGTTGCGATTCTTGGTTGATTTAAAGCAATCTAAGTGAAATGGTTAATCTATTATTGAAATTACCAGTAAACCTATCATCAATTTCAATATGAAAAACCTAATAATAATGCAAAAATTTCAAAAAGAAAATAATTAAAAAAACTAGCCCTCGTTGGTTGATTTGGTTGATTTTCCATTTCTGATTGTGAGGGTGGCTCTGAGAGATTTAGATAGACAGATTTCGCCGGAGATGGGGACGGATTTCGTCGGAGATGGGTGAGAGAGTGAGAGATGGAGATGGGATGAGTTGTGATTTTAGGTTTTAGGTTATGAGTTGCGATTACGGGATACTGTGGACAGTTCAGCGTTCCAATATATTTATATTCATGTTTGGAATTTAAAAATAAAATACTTGGTCAGGATACTAATGGCGCTTTGAAAATCGCATTGCGATTATGTATTATCGCGTTGCGAAAGTCAGTATCGCGTTGCGAAAGTAAGTATCTCGTTGCGATTTTTTATTATCGCATTGCGATAGTCAGTATCGCATTGCGATTTTCCCAATTCGCGTTGCGATTTACTTATTCGCATTGCGAATTTCCCAATTCGCGTTGCGATTTACTTATTCGCATTGCGAATTGGGAAAATCGCAACGATACTGTACACCATCGCAACGCGATTTTCAACTATCGCATTGCGAAAATGCAACGCGAATTTGCGATAATGGAGATCGCGTTGCGAATTAGCGATCGCATTGCGATTTTGTTGGTCATTTTGGCAAATCCAGAAAAATTTAGTTAAAATCGTATATTATATGAGATTTTTGGTCACTGAGGTTATTTTCTTTTATAAAAATCTCAAAATCACACTAACGCCACTAAACCAAACATTCAACATACTTTTTCTCTCGCTTTACAGTGCTACCTGTCGCCTTCAATCGCGACTTTTGCACCACTCAACTCTCGCACTACCCTTTCTCTCTCTTCCCGTTGTTTTTTCTTTTTTGGTGTAAATAAAGGGATTTAGGGTTTTGTTTTGTTTTCTCTTTCTTCGATATGAATCAACAGCCAGGTCCGGGAGATAACAAGGATCCAGAGGAAGCGCCTGTGGCCCAGCCTGTTGAATCCACTGCCGTTAAGCCGATCCCCGAGAAACCGGTTGCTGGTGTTGGAGAAGACGAGGTCGTTACTTCGTCGGAGAAGACTGAGGATTCGACAATGGAGGATGAATCAGTTAATCCGGCTACCGTGTTTTGTATTTGGTTGAAACAGCCGAGGTCTAATTTGCAGTATAAAATGAGAGTACCTGAATTGTGCCGCAATTTTAGGTTAGATTTCGAGTTCAATTCAGTCAACTCTGGAATTTACTCTTTTTGATCGATCTTTTTTTGAATAACTTTTTTTGTTGTTGTTGAAGTGCTGTTGCTTGGTGTGGAAAGTTGAATGCTATTGCTTGTGCTACTGAAACTTGTGCTAGAATTCCGAGGTCAGTTTGTTTCTTTTAATTGTTTCTTCCTTTTTCCAAGTGAAGTTTCGTGTACTTGACTTGATGGTTAGAAAATGAGCTAGTGTTTTTCCTTTTAGAATGATGATTTCCTATCATACAAGTGAACTATAGAATTATTTCGAAACCAAGTTTCTGAGGAACACCAAGTTTGGGAAACTGATTTATTCTATACGACTTTTTAAAATAAAACTCATCTAGTGTTTTATTTATTTGTAGTTCCAATGCAAATCCACCTTTCTGGATCCCTATACAAATTGTGATCCCTGAGCGTCCTACAGAGTGTGCAGTGTTCAATGTCACAGCAGGTAGCTTAAATCTACATTTTCAGTTCTTAATTGTTATAGCTCTAAAGTATTGCCATTAATGACATGGTTGAATATTTTGAGTCATGTAGCGGTGTCAAAATGTCAATTTCATGAAATTGGATTTTTTTTATTGATCTTTGTAGCTATGCAAAGTTTTTGTATCGGTGGAAGCATGACTACGACTATGTCTATTTTACATCTTTGTTTATTTATGTAACATGGTTGTGGCTGTTTCATTGTCAGCATGTCTTAACAATATTAGCTCTTACATTTTTAGCCAGTTGGCAGCAAAATTGTGTATATGATTAGTTGCTCTGCACATATCTTGCAGATTCTCCTCGTGATTCTGTTCAGTTTATTGAATGGTCACCTACTTCTTGTCCTCATGCCTTATTGATAGCTAACTTCCATGGGAGGGTGACTATCTGGACTCAGGCATCCCAAGTAAGCTTGCTCGCTAAATTGCTTCTTTGAGATACTTGATTGACCCCACTTTATCTTCTTAGCATGGCTTCTCTGTATATAAGCCCATTTCAGACTTAGTTACTCTGGAAACATCGGTGTATTCCTATACTTTCTGTTACTTTTCATTTTGGTTTATCTTTTGCTCATTTGTGGCCATAAAATCTTACCCTGGCTTAAAATTCAATGTTTAAATGCAGGGGCCTGCTCATCTGGTACGCGATGCTAGCTTCTGGAATCGTGAGCATGACTGGCGGCAAGATATAGCTGTTGTTACGAAGTGGTTGTCAGGGGTGTCTCCGGTAAGTGTTTTGACTGTCTGCAAATTGATGTCTGGAAATGGATCTTTCAGGCATGAATTATCGTGTAAGTTAGTATTGTGGTGCAAATTTTTTTGCCCTTCTTGTAAATTGCCTCAAGTTTATCGTCGTATGTAAAGATGATTGTGCTGGATCTTCTTTCCATAACTTATGCCTTCAAAGAAAAGAAAGAAGCTGAATTAGACTTTTTTTTTTATAGAAGGTTAGGCCTCATTAAAAACCCCCTTTTTCACCCTCCATGTTATGTAAGTAACATGAAGGACAAAGAAAGGAGGAAAAGAGTGCCTAGACATTCTTTATTTTGTTCCCTCATTAACATTTTTTTTATTCTTTCAATGGACACCTTTTTCTCATTTGTTTTTAATTTCCCTTGTTACTTTAATGTTAATGATATGATCACTTGGTATTGATTTATGTATTTTTAATAATCAGTATAGGTGGCTTTCATCAAAATCCAGTAATCCCGCAAACTCAAATTCAACTTTTGAGGAAAAATTTATTTCTCAACAATCTCAAAATTCAGGTTTGTAGCTTTCCCTCATTAAGTGTTTGTCTTCTCTGGCTTTCCAGAAAGTTGAGGTCTAGCTCACAGTTTGTGTTCTATTCATGATTTGAGCCAGAAATAAATTTGTAAACATTCTGGATTTGTAATGTTGACTATTATCATATAGAAGCTATTAGTGTTCTTTGATGATGAGCTCATTGGCCTGTTCTCTCTGTTTTTCATGTTAGTATCATTGTAGAAATTTGAAAGGTATTCATTGATTGAATCTGTTTTTCTTTTTCTTTTTTGCAGCCAGATGGCCCAATTTTCTTTGTGTTTGTTCTGTCTTCTCTTCTGGGTCTGTTCAGCTTCATTGGTCCCAATGGCCACCTACTCAGGGTAGTGTTGAACGAAAATGGTTTTGCACAAGCAAGGGAATATTGGGTGCTGGGCCTAGTGGTATCATGGCTGCTGATGCAATAGTAACAGACAGTGGTGCCCTGCACGTGGCAGGTGTTCCAATTGTAAACCCGTCTACTGTTGTTGTGTGGGAGGTCACTCCTGGCACTGGAAATGGATTTCAAGCAATTGCAAAGACCAGAACAAGTAATGGGATATCACCTTCAGTTAATCCACCCAACTGGGCAGGTTTTGCTCCATTGGCTGCATATCTATTTAGTTGGCAAGAATATTTGATATCTGAAGCAAAACAAGGGAAAAAGTCAACAGATCAAGATTTTAATGATGTTGTGTCACTACATTGCTCGCCAGTTTCAAATTTCTCAGCATATGTGAGCCCCGAGGCTGCAGCACAATCTGCGGCAACCACTACTTGGGGCTCTGGAGTAACTGCAGTTGCCTTTGATCCAACTCGTGGTGGTTCTGTAATTGCTGTTGTTATTGTTGAGGGTATTAGTCTGATCTTTAAAGTTTATTTTTGAAACTTCTTGCTGTTCCTATAACAGAGCTTATTGATTAAAATGTTAAGTTATTAAACCTTAGAATGACATTTATACCATACTATGTAAATGGGAAAATAAGACTAGATGGACTATGTTTCTGGCCTGTATCGGCACATTTAGGTGGTAACTGAACCAATAGCTCATTGTTGTAATAATGGTAATGGTAGCCTGTTGGTTTTTAGTACCTGAACCAATAGCCCTTTGAATGGAATGATTCTTTTCTGTTGATTTTGGTTGGTTTCTGAATAAGATAGTTCATATTTTATCAGCTGTTAGTTGGCCGCCTTTAAATTCATTGTGTTCGTGTCATGCTTATTGTAGGACAATACATGTCTCCATATGATCCAGATGAGGGTCCTACAATCACAGGTTGGAGAGTGCAACGTTGGGAGTCATCACTTCAGCAGGTTGTTCTCCATAATATATTTGGGAATCCTTCTTCCAGTTTTGGTGGGCAGGCACCTATGCAAACCGTTTGGGTGTCTAAAGTGGATACAAGCATACCGCCCACTAATGACTTTAAGTGTCACCAAGCAGCTGCTGCGGGACCAACTTCTGATGCTCAAAAAGCATTTGATTTGAGTGCTGAGAAGGCTTATAGAGTTAGTTTTGATCCTTTTGACCTACCAAGTGATGTTAGAACCCTTGCTCGAATTGTTTATTCTGCACATGGTGGTGAGATAGCTATTTCGTTTCTTCGGGGTGGAGTCCACATTTTTTCTGGTCCAAATTTTATTCCTGTTGATAACTACCAGATTAATGTTGGATCTGCTATTGCTGCCCCTGCCTTCTCTTCAACAAGCTGTTGTTCAGCTTCTGTTTGGCATGACACTAGCAAGGACCGTACCATGTTGAAGATAATTCGCGTTCTTCCTCCTGCTGTTTCAAGTAGTCAGATAAAGGCTAACTCATCAACCTGGGAACGTGCTATTGCTGAGAGGTACATAATTAGCTAATCTATGCTCAGGTACTGACTTGATGAATTTTTATTACAACTATTATTAATGTTGTTTGGAGTAGGTTTTGGTGGAGTCTTTTGGTTGGAGTTGATTGGTGGGATGCCGTTGGCTGTACACAGAGTGCTGCTGAGGATGGCATTGGTAAACAAACTTTCACCAACTTTTAATTTTTTTGACCCAAGTACAAATTATATTTTTCCTTGGCATTTGCATTTTACATTACCATCTTTGCTTGCCCGTTTTTGACGTATATTGTCCTTTTCAGTTTCTCTGAACAGTGTGATTGCTGTCTTAGATGCGGATTTTCACTCTCTTCCTTCTATTCAGCACAGGCAACAGTATGGACCTGTATGTCTTTCATTAACTTTATTTTTGCAATATTTGATCGGCTGTTGCTTCTTTTTTTATAAGAATTGAAGGCCTCATTAAAAAACCCCTTCTTGATTAATGGAGCTTGTATGGAAGCTCCTTAATCAGCGGAAGGAGGAAAAGAGTGCCTTAGAACTTCATTAAAGAAAATAAGAATTACACCCTAGAAAAAGATAAGCTAAATAACCCTTACAAAAAGCAACAACCCCCTTCCGAACAAGAACCAGAAAACCAAACGAACAGTGCAAATGACATAAAAATCAGCCTATACCAGCCTTTGCTAAAGCATCAGCATCCATATTAGTTGTCCTTGCAACCCATCTAACAACCCCCCCAAAAATTCTAAGTTTAACAACTATATCTCTAACAATAAAAGCGTACACAACTGGGCATGAATCAACATTGTTAATCCAGTCTACTGCTACCCTACTATCACTCTCAACAATCAGCAGATCATTAACCATCCCTTGGAAAGAGGCAAAGAAAGAAAAACCCCTTTGAATAGCTTTAAGTTCCATCAATGTCGGAGGTCCCGAACCCGCAGACTTCTGAAAAGATCCTAAGATTGCACCTGAATGATCCTTTAAAATACCTCCAATACCACTTTTCTTCCAATCACTGCTAGTGGCTGTTGCTTTTGACATAATTAGTTCTACTTTGTTATTAACTTTGCTAATTATGGCCTGGCTTAAAGAAGCTGTGCCAAGTGCCTAAACCCTCATCTAATGAAGCTATCATGCCATCAGCTTCTTGGAAAAGAACCCTTCCTCGATAGCCTACATGTTCTCCTGTCCGTTTAATTCTGTTTCCTTCTCTACTGTTTTTGAATGTAATGTTGGCTTGGAGGTTCAAAGCAGATGAATAAGAAGTTTGAATCTTTGAAATTTTCTGTACTTTCATTTGCTTGAAAGTTCAATATTATCTTTACTGAGCTTAGTATGGTTTTTTTTTAATTTCATTTTACCTGCTTGTTGAGTTGTCTTCATACTTGCAGAGTCTGGACAGGATAAAGTGCAGGCTACTGGAAGGTACAAATGCCCAAGAGGTTAGGGCAATGGTTCTAGATATGCAAGCAAGGTTGTTACTGGATATGCTAGGGAAAGGAATTGAATCAGCTTTGGCAAATCCTTCAGCCTTAGTATCAGAACCATGGCAGGCATCTGGCGAGACGTTATCCAGCATTGATCCTGAATCAATGGCTGTTGATCCAGCCCTTGTTCAGAGTATTCAGGTGTTGCCTCTATGTTTGACTTATCTGCAGATGTATTGAGTCTTCGGTTGGGCTGAAATTTTACTGTTGAAATAAAATAGTACCTGCTGTCCATTCTTTTGATATTGTTTTATTTTTTCCCCTTTGTTTCATTTATAAAATTAGCAACTTTTTCATAGGGCAGCATAAGGTTATATGGTTGGTCTCTGATCATGTTGTCAGACTAGTGACTGTTCCCTACCTAAATAATTCAAATCTCGGCATATCAAAATACTCTATTATCTGTTCTACCTCTAGCACTTTTTCTCAGCAGGGCTAAGATAGCTTATACTTCCCGTTGATGCAATATACAGGCTTATGTTGATGCTGTTCTTGATCTGGCTTCACATTTTATTACACGTCTGCGGCGTTATGCAAGTTTCTGTCGCACATTGGCAAGCCATGCTGTTACAGCAGGTACTGGAAGCAACCACAATATGGTAACAAGTACTACTCAAAGTTCAACATCTCCAGCAACTAGTCAGGGTCAGTGGCAAGTGTCTTTTGATATCCAGAATTTATTAATAGAAATTGTTTTTCTTCTTTCTGCTCTATTGCGTTATGCTGACATGTCTCTGTTACCCTTCTTGAATTGTAACTTCAAATTTGCTGTATTTATATGCCTAAGCCAACCATGTTTTTACAGCTGGTCAAAGTGGCACCACAAGTTCGACTGGAAGCACACAGATGCAAGCTTGGGTACAGGGTGCTATTGCTAAGATTAGTGGCTCAACTAATGGAGTCTCCACTTCAACTCCGAACCCCACAATTGGCCCCTCTTCCTTTATGCCAATAAGCATTAATACAGGAACTTTTCCTGGAACACCTGCTGTTAGGCTCATTGGGGATTGCCATTTTCTTCATAGACTATGCCAACTTCTACTTTTTTGCTTTTTCTTTCGGAGAGCTCTACAACCTCGTTTTGCACAAAGAAATACTGATTCAAATCCACAAAAACCTCAGCCCGGTGCTCCTGGGAAAGTAGAGGAGGTCAATTCTGCTGCTGCTAAGCCAACAACTATGACTAGGCCTGATGAAGCTCAAGGAGCCCGAGGTGGGCAGTTGGTACCTGGAGGTAAAGGTTCTGAGGATGGTCCTGCTGGAAGATTAAAGATAGGTTCTGGGAATGCTGGTCAAGGATACACTTTTGAGGAGGTAGTATCCGTGTATTTCCATTACCTACCACTATTACCACTCTCACCAATTGTTGTCTCTACATAGAATATTTGGGTAGCTTTTTGGAATATCATGTTCTTATGCTGAAAATATTTCCTTTGAAACTGTGCTCTGGTGTCCCAAGTAATGTTTAGGACTCTGCCTTGAGGAATGGCTGCCTGGATTGATACCTTATAATAGGCCTCCTATGTTGCTCTGCAGGTGAAGGTTCTTTTCCTGATTCTTATGGATCTCTGTAGGCGCACCTCTGCTCTAGCACGCCCATTACCAGTTTCTCAGGTGGGGAGCAGCAGTATCCAGGTGCGGCTGCATTATATTGACGGAAATTATACAGTATTGCCCGAGGTGGTAGAGGCATCCCTTGGCCCACATATGCAGGTAGGTAGATTTAATCATGCGAGTTTATGAAACCTACTTGTGTAATGCAGGTAGGTAGTTCATAAATACCGTAACTCATGATTTGCTTCTTTGTAGTGAGTGAGACATAGTGATAGAGCAAGTAATGTTTCTATGTGTAGTTTGCTATGGATATTGATAGAGAATCAATATGGGTATCTATCGTTCTGTTTCCCTTTCTGAACCCACAGAGCGCATTGTAGATGCTATGTTAACGATGAAAGCAGTTTTAATTTGCATAATGGAATCTTCTTTAGAAGTAAAAAAAATGGAAAGGATTTAGTAGAAAGTTTTTGTGTGAGTAGACATTAGGTATTCATGTTGGTTCTTCTACACTTAGATATTCTAATTATTTGAATTTCGGATTCTGCAGAATATGCCTCGGCCTAGGGGTGCAGATGCTGCTGGTTTGTTATTGCGAGAGTTAGAATTGCACCCCCCATCGGAGGAGTGGCACAGACGGAATATGTTTGGTGGTCCAAGGTCAGATCATGAGGATATAAGCTCAGATGATAGTCCCAGGCTAAGTAATTCCGTTGACTTACTTGATAGGAGCACATTGGAAAGTTCTAGTGTCCATTATGGAGCACAAACCCTCTGGCCAAGGAAGCGTCGCTTGTCTGAAAGAGATGCAGCATTTGGCTTAAACACTTCTGTTGGTCTGGGTGCATATCTTGGTATAATGGGATCTCGACGAGATGTTGTGACTGCTGTGTGGAAGACTGGTCTTGAAGGTGTTTGGCACAAGGTTTGGGGTTTTCTTGAATATTTACTCTATAACTTCTTTGTTTGTCTGTCAGTATTTACTTGCTCTAGAGTTAGCACATAGAACCCTTCCAATTCCTATCAATCGGGACTGGAAGTTTTCTTGTTCCCGCCTCGTTGATAAAAGAATTCATATAGTTCATGCATGATTTTACATGTTCCTAAGTATTACTTTGAAAATTGTTGGTGTCAAATAGAAAAATATATAACAGGAGCTTAGACTAATATTTTGCTTGGAAGGACAACTTATTTTATGTAAGCCACGCTTATTTTGAGACAATGATGTGTGCTCCTTTCGTCGGCCACGGCATTTTAAGTGTTGGGGGAGAAACGAGTCATTTTGATATATGCTTTTCCTTCTTCGTTCCTGACTTCTATCGTTGACTATTTCTGATGAAATTCCTTTTAATAAAAATATCTATCGGTGTATATCGTGCAGTGCATGAGATGCTTGCGACAGACTTCAGCTTTCGCTTCTCCTGATTCAACCAACCAACCTAGTCAAAACAAACGAGTGAATTGGTGGATCAGCCAGTGGGCCTATGGATGTCCGATGTGCGGTGGACCTTGGGTTCGAGTCGTGTAGCGGATGCCTGCTGAAACGTCGATTCTTTATCCAGGCTTCATTTAGGTTCCTCTTTTCTACGTATGGGTATGTCTCAGAAGAGAGAGCTTTCGGGTATAACCCTCCATGGCTTTAGAAGTTGTTGCATTTTAAGCGCAAACATAGAAACAAATGATTGGCTCTCAACCCCAGAACCTATTTCTGTATAAAAACTTATTGATAAAATGATTTTAGGTAATTACTTCTTTAACATACGGTAAGTAGAACTTTGATTGCAAGGGGATGAAGATTATGATAATATGCATAGGTTAATAGATTCCCCCGTCTTGATGATTTGTGCTTATTATAAGGCAACCCATTGATTGTATGAATGTATAGCTGTGAATTGGAAAGTCAAAAGTTGACATTATTCTTTTCAAGTCAATATCTTGGACTTTTGTTATTTTATTTTATTGAATTTAGAGTTAATATTTGTATTTTCATTTTGAATGATTTGAAATTAGTCTTGTAAAAAATATATTTATCTTAAAATTAACCGAAGTGGGTTAATATATAGAAAATTAACTAAAACTTATTGTTTGATGGCAGCCGTTGTCCTTTCTTTGTTTAGGATACAAATAGACTGAAGAAATTAAGTTCATATACATGGAGAGTTGTGGTAAATGGGATGAGTTGAACTCGAGTATTATTGAATTGCTAAGTTTGACTCAAATTTAAAAAGGAATATAAAAACACACCAAGTGCCATATCTTTCATTCGAGACCAACAATAGTCAGATAAAACTGTATTTTGGCAACTTTAACTCTTACAGAAAACCGCAATAGCAATGTTCCAACCATTTGGCGTCTCCAGCCGGCAATTCTTGTATGAATAGAGATAAATGAAACTTAAATGGCAAACAAATTTGAAACTAATTATCAGTAGACACTTAAGCAAACATCGTGATTCAAATTATGTTATTATAAATGAATTTCTTTTTAAGAAAAATATGCGCTTGCGCTTATATTTATTAGATACCAATGGCATCAAAGATAATATCGTTTGAGATATATTTTGATATTTCATATACAAACCATAGAGGATTGATTCTTGACAATGGAGATGGCATCCTCTCCAATCTCATGAAATGTCCAAAACGAACTACTTAAGAAAAGGGTTGAGTTTAATTAATGGTACGAAATCCTTCCAAGCAAAATATCAAATGGTAATATGAAATACCAGTAAGAAACCGAATCCTCGAGGAAAACAAAAAAGAATGGGGGCAGGAAAACAACCACGGTAAATGTGATCCGGAAGCAATTAAGCTGTTGATGTTGTCTCTGGTTCCGCAACAGTGTCGTCCTTGGCAGCGGCAGGAGCAGCAGTAGCATCTTGTTCGGGAGAGGAACTATTTGCAACGGTGGCAATGGTGGCGTCTTTTGCAGATGGAACGGTTGCTCCTTTTTCTGTAGATGCTGTTCCGTTTGATGCAGCATTGTTTGCCTTTTTCGCATCTTTTCCATCTTTAGCATCCTTCTCTGGTGCGGGTGGGGGTGGAATCATGTGAGGTGGGGGGGAATGCTTCAGCTTCACAAGGATGTGCCGCAGTCTTGAAAGATCGGTCGGCTTTCCGGGCTTCGGTCCCTGAATGATAGTAACTGATGGCTTCTTGTCTGCGTCCTTCTTTCCTCTTTTCTCGATATTAGGGACCTCACGAGGAATGAGTTCTGCTATCGCAGTCCAATACTGTTTGTCCGCAGTCTTATGGAACTTCTCTTGGTTAGCAACATACAGCTGCTCCAAGCCCAGAAGAAAATCCAGTGATTAGATAAAGCTCGGCATTATCCAAATGGAATGAAAAGACATTTTGTTCAAAATATTACCCTCTCTCTTTCTCTGTTATTAGTCTTGTTGGTCTCGATGGTTTTCTCCCGCTTCTCATAGAATGCTCGCTTGTACTCCTCAGCTTCTTCGATAATCTGGTTCCGCAACTCCTTTTCCTTCTTCTCCTTCTCTTCAAGCACAAGGGCATTTTGACTGCAACAAAGAAATGACGATGAAAGAGTAAAACCTTTGGCCACTAAAGGTAAAGTGATTTTTACGTAGGAGAAAAGAAAAGTATTCCCAAATACAACCTATTAGAGGTATTAATGGGTTAGGCTGGATTCAGAATTTTTTTCTTTGCTTGCAACAAGGCCAGGCCTAAGAGTCCGTTTCACTATTTAATAACATTAAAACCTTTTATATTTTTATTACATGAATAGTAAATTCAGCTAGGTTGGACTAACAAATATAGGATAAATGACACCCAAAGAAGTAATACTATAGTAATTAGAAACGTATTTCAGGAAAACCAACAAATAAAGTAAAAACACCCAAAGAAGAAAATCTCATCTCTGATATAGGATAAAGGACACATCGGTTCAAAGGTCTTTTGAAGACAAACTCAACAAAAAATTGAAAAAGTGAAACGTTCATAAATGCCATGAAACTATCATGCCACAGCAAGCTAAAAAACGACTCCGCCATAAATGAATACAATATAAAGCACTTGGGAAATTTTCACGATTAGGTCTTGAAACCATAACTGCAAACGTTGAGTTCAAAATGTGGGATGTCACAGGAATAGAAGTCATAATAGGTTAGAAAAACATTTCAAACATTATGTGCTTCATAGATATGAGAGTGTTCTTAGGATCTACAATAAACAAGGTAATAATTGAATGTTCATCCTCTTTATTATCATTGTGAAATATAAAACTACCCTCTCCTATCCATCATAAGCTGAAAGACATGTTTTTTCAACCTACAAGAGATCACGTGGGAACTAAAGAAACACAACCACCTAGAGCTGTGAAACATATTTTCATATCATTTAGGTTAATGTGACAGTACAATAATGCAAATGATCTGTTAACGATATTAATGTGCAGGCAACGGTGATTAGATCATACTTTATTCAGAAAAATATTCAAACATCTTCGGATTGGAAAATCAATGTGGATCTGAGTCTGCTCAATCTATTGGCTAATGAGATCATATAAGTAGCGATCACATTCAAAAAGTTCTCTAATTTACGCATCACAGCTAATGAACTCTTATGGATTATAATGAAGCGAACTATGGACCAATACAAAAATAAATCTAACAAGAACTTCAATCAATAACAAGAGAGATCAACAAATTTGAACTTCAAGGAACATATATGAAGCGGCAAAAACAAGCTGATTGCCTCCATGCTTAAAACCACGGCAGATCTAGAAACACCAAACGATCATTAACAAATTTGAATTGAAGTTAAACTTAGTTCAATCAATGCAACAGAAATTTGCAGCCGATTCAACAGCATTGCAGATCTAAGCTGAGAAGGATTGCTAAGCTAAAAGTACCTATTTAAGAACACGAAATGATCAATAACGAATTTGAATAAAAGTTAATCTTAGTTCAACCAATGCAACAACAATTCGTATCGGACTCAAAAGAAATGCAGATCTAAGATGAGATAGATTTCTAAACTTAAAGAACCGATCAAATCCACACAAAATGTCAACAAATCAAACGATTTAATTATAAAAAATAAATAAATTTCAACTACTAACCGACGCCATTCGCGAAGAAGGAAGCCTTCCTCAGTAGCCATCTCAGTAGGAGGAGGAAGCACCGGTCCATCAGAAGCAAAAACGTCATCGTTTCCACCACCGAATCCATTCATTCCGTTTCCGTTTTCCACATGAATCGTATCACCGAAAGGAGATTGCGAGTAAGCAGGGGACGGATCGGAGGATCCGAAGTCAAAGATCTCAGGTGAAGAAGCCAAGTGATCCACCGCCACATCACCGCCGTCCGCTGGAAACTGCTGGTTGTCGGTAAAGTTGGAGTAAGAGCCGTAGTTGGAGTAGCTCTCGTCGTCAACTTCGAAAGGATGGTTATTTGGAGCTGCTGCTGCATGAGCCTCTTCTCCTTCCATACCGTACGCATCGAAGGAAGCCATATTTCTCGGTAAAGAAAGAAGAGAAAACGAATCGAAATGGAGAAATTTTTTTTAGCTTACAACAGAGAGAGAGATAGAGAGTTTTGTTTCTTTTTTTTTAATCTTTTGATTTTTCTTTGTTTTTGACCTTTTATACTAAACGTTGACGGCCGACGGAACCGGACAGGATTAGATTTTGGCAAGAAATTAAATACATAATAACCATTTTGACCCCTCAATTTTATCAGTTTAACTATTTTAACCTTTAAATTTTTTATTAAAAAACAATCGACTCAAGTGACAAATTATTGAACCGAGTTAACTTTTCCTTATTGAAATGTTGGAATGGGTCATTTTACTATTTTCCGTCACTTTACCATAAAACTTTAAAAAATTTGTCAAAACAATAATTTTAGCCTTCAATAAGAATAAAATAGTTATTTTTTTTTAATTTTGTGATGGCGTGATAAGAGAGGACAAACAAACTGATAATATCTTAATAGCGTCGTTATTGTTCTATCATATTTGTGTAAATTTGACCCCAAAAATAAAGATCAAAGGTCAAAATAAAATAAATAAAACTTTTAGGGGTAAAATTAGAAGTTGAAAATGTCATCCTGCCAAAAAAATCATATGAAATTACTTGTTAGTCCTTTCCATTTGAAAGACATAATTTTTTTAGTTAGAGCTAAGCTACATACCTCTCACTTTCTACGTAGCTTCGTTTTTAGATACAACCCAGTTTAGACAAAATATTAATAATAATGCCTTATTTCTCGTATATTTAGATAAGTTACATTTAATTTACATTGTGTAATTTTTAAAATTAATAATTAATTAAAGTTTTAAAATTGAAAATATTCATTTTTATAAAAATCTACTGCTAATCTCAATCATTTAAAAAAAGGTGTAAAACTTAAAAACTCCCTTAAGTGCCAACGAATCCTACGTTAATTTAGATTTATTTTCATTTCTTAATTTAAAAAAAAATTCAATACCAGCATCACTAGACGAAATAGCGGACACTAAATAGACAAGCCAAACTCGTATTATCAAAATTGTAGTACATAAACTCGGTGAACTATGCGATTTTCACCAGTTTCAGACTGGTTTTCAAGAGTAATTTTCTCACATACTGACACAGATTTGTATGGCAAGAAAACCAGTCAGTAGGGGCTCTAGAGTCTATGGTTAAAAAAATTACTGGCTATAATTGGACCATGTTTCACATGAAATTGGCATCTCCTTTTGACACCTCGTCGGAACGAATGAATGTTCATCCCCGGGAAGGGATAACACGGTGAATGCGAATCCTCGGTTGCTTCCGGACATGTCATGAATCTCATCTATTGGGCTCCATACATGTCATACAAGAAACACTCGAAGTTAAACAGTCAACTTGGGTTGCAGGTCTAAATGGCCTTCACCCGTTGTCCATATTGTGTACTGTACAGATGTCACAACAGCTGCTACACTATAAAATCAGAAAAATCTACTGAGGGTTTTCGGTCTTCAAGGAACAGGAGGAGCATTCTTGTGATATCTACTAGAAGAAGGCATCCGCTGTAGACCTCGCGGAAAATCCAGCTTTAAGCGTTTACTTTGCATATCTTGCAATGACCTTGTCCAATATAAACGATGATACAGCAAATAAGAAAACGTAAATGAAGCAACAATGGCTTTTTCACCTACAAATGAGATCACATACCTTGGAGAACCCTGACGTTTCTGAGTAAATTGACCTCCGAGCATTGATCTTAGACTTCCAAGGGCATTTTCAGCAGCCTAAGGGAGGGGATAAAAGTGCCCGGCCAGGAAGAAAAATTATACCGTATGAAAAAATGAGTCAAACGAGAAAGTTTTGAGTAATAAATAGAACAAAGGTATACCTGCATCTTAGCCTCTTCCCATGATAACCCGATACCTTTTCCTAAAACCTGCCCATCTACTTCAACCTAAACCAGAAACCAGAATACACAAACTATTGAACACGGATCCCCAATGAATTCAGCGAAAAGAACCATTCTAGGATAGACCTTAAAAAAAAATGAGTTGTGAAATGCAAACCTGTGCGTATACTTCATCTTTCTGCAATGTATTTGATGCAGATGGTGACTGTGCTTGGAAAGCTACCCCAAGGCCCTCCATCATGCACTGTAGACAAACCACATACTATCAGTCCAACCTAAAGACTAAATTATTGCTAGTAGTCACATTTTGAAGACTAAAAAAACTAATGAGGTCCTGAGATCTTACTAATTCTTTAAGTGCGGTGACCGAACCCAGATATTTCCTGGAGCCTTCCAGCCTTGGATCAAGAAGCCTAGATGGTTCTGGTGCAGTTGAAAATGACATAGATTCCTCTTTAGACAATGGCTGGTTCCCGTACAAATTCAAATTACCAGGAAAGCCATTGTCATTTGTGTTGGCCAACCTTAAATCCCCTCGTGCAGACCCATTATCAGGCTTAATAAGTGACAAATATGTATCTGTAAGTATATCATAAAAGAATCAGAATCAGTCCAAAAGAACACTATAAGAAGAGAGCCTGAATATGGAAACCAAAACAGAAACATCTTAAAACCCTTTCCTCTGAGATTAAACAGAAAGCAGCTCAACACATAATCACAAGCTTTGAAAACAGACAATCTAGTGACAAGAGTTCTGAGGCAGAAATGTTTTTTTCAGTTAAGCAAAGCTCAAGCAATTTTTATTGTAGATTATTGCCACATGTTTATATAACATTAACCTAATGCATAATATAAGGTCAAAAAATGTTGAATGCAGTTTTCTCTTATTGCTGGAAAATATACTAATCACTGAAGTAGTATTCTTTCACTGTGTATACTCCTTTTATCCAATTTATATCATAGAAGTTCAGCAAAGCAGAGTTTGAGGTGTAAGATTGCTTTTAGGTTGCATTGATTATTATTAGCCTAAAAATCAATAGAGGTGATCTCAACCCATCAAATTAAGTACATACTTGTAGATAAGAATAAAAATAGGAAGAGGTATTACTAGCTAAGCCTTTTATAGAATCTTCTGCAGCCTGACGCTGAGCTTCTCTTCTTGTTCTCCCAGTTCCTTCACCAACTTTCTCCCCAGCAAACCAAGCCTACCGCAGGCAAGAAAGAGGATGAGCCAAGAGTACGACTCCATATCAAATTTTGAAATTCCAAATGAAAGCAAACTCGATAATATATTGTGAACAAAATGGTCATAAGTTCATAGAATGAAATGGTAAAAACTGATTTAAGTCAAAGTGTACATAAACCTCAACAGAGAATTGCAGGTCCATGCTAGCAACCAAAGCTGGTCTAAATTCGACCTACAAGTTTTAGAAACAAAATTCAGAAGCAGTAGGCATATAGTGAAACATGGTGAAACCATACGATATTTGTAACATAAACATTACAACCTATCTCATGGTCAAAATTACTTCGAAATTACCTTGGCTCCACACTTCATTGCAATATCTTGTAAGACTCCCGCTGGAGTTTCTCCACTTGGAACAGTTCGTCCAGATTCAAAGTCAAGATCCTTGTAACTAGAAGATGACCGACCAAGGGGCATCTCCACACCTTCAAAATGTAGAACAGTATACGAAATCAGACAAAAAATATAAAGCATAGACATAGCAACCAATGAACATTCAAACTGGAGGAAGATAAAAACATATCATCCTGCTCAAAAACCCATAAAAATTAGATATCAGTAGTTTCAAGTAAGATGAAACCTCAGTATAAACAATAACAAGAAAGTTCGCATTCAGGTCAATGTGCAGTTAGTTGCTTCAGCTTACCTGAAAAAGAATGATAACTAGACGGTGTAAGGTTTAACCCCAAACGATCATCTCTATGAAATGCCTGCAAATGAATTATGCTCTAAGATAACCATGTTTCAGCAACAAGAGAACCGATGTCAGGCCATCACAAAGAACCAATTACCTCTTTTGATAATCTTTGATTTTCACGAAGTCTATTTGATGGAATAGAACTCTCAGCCTTAGGGAAGAAGGGAGAGAACCGATGTTTCTCGATATGCATTCGCCCAGAATCTAAAGGAAAATCTTTGGAAACTGTTCGGTTCAGTTGCTGTGGGCTCATCTCCTCATCAGCAGAAAACCAACTACCACGTGATTGAGCACGTGAAACTGGAACTTGCATTGCAGGTCTCGCAGGGGGAAATGCAGATTCAGGTGGTGTTGCATCTCTGGTATCTTGCCCATGTTGCAATATCAGAAGCCTCCTCCTTGTATCGGGATCCAATTCTGATTCTGGAACCTCGCCTTCTTCTCTAGCCGGGGAGCTTTGCAAGCTTGGTTCTGGGGCTACAACTGGAGCCACTGGTTCAATCACGGGTGCTACCTGAGGAAACTGCATGTTTGGAAATGATACCATTGATGTCTGAGCCGCGGGCAATGGAACTGAACTAGAAGAAGGCATGGTGAACTGAAGAGAAGAAGCGAGTCTTGGATCCAGGTTAAGGGTTGATGAAGAGACTGTTGATGCTGCTGAAATTGCCTCCTGGATGAAAGAAGCAAATTAAAAGGAAATATTTTACAGATTCAATCCACATGGATAAAAAATTCACCTCCATAAGTGACAAGAATTCTAAAATCGGCACTCCCACCTAACCAAATAGGCTGGAGAAAACAATAACAAATCACCTTTAGTCTTTTTTCAACCTCAGCATCTGCCATGCCATCAAATGTAAGTGGATCTTTGTTTCCAGTAGAAGCAGAAGTATCATCCTGAGAGGCATGGCAAATTTAGTAATGAACAAAGGGCAACACAGCAACACCAGAAAGTCCAATACGATATATAACCTGTAAACATTACAAGAAAAGATGGAAAAACTAAAGAAAAGGAAAAATATCTCATGACTAACCTCAGAGACCAAATAATTGCCCACATCTGGAGGTAAAGGAATATCTTTAATATCATCTTCATATGAAATTTCAGGAATTTTTTGAAGAAGGCCTTCGTCAAATTCTCTGTCATCAATTCCCAGGGTTATTTAATGAAAATTTTGGAAGGCATAAACAAATAAGACCAACTAAATTGCTCAAACTTGAGTTATAAGGCTGGCAAGGTTATGCCGTGTAAGAGTTATT